AACAGATTTAGTAAAGCCCAATGGTCACTTTTCAGACTGGCAGGTAAAATTTAAGTGGTTCTAAGATGTTGATCAGCAGCAGGTGTGTGTGTTTGTCTATGTTCAGATGAACGAGAAGGGTCGTTTTACCGCCTATTTCAGTCTTATTTGAAAAGGATGTGTTGTGCACGTGAACCCTCGGGCTGAGTGTCCGAGCAGCCTATGGGGGTTTTTGTCCTGTGGGTATGCACTGTGGGACAAACACTGCCAGGGTGATGTTTGGAGCTGGACTCAAACTGACGGTAGAGACACGTGAGTCCATCCCAGTCTGGCCGCTGCTGATGTTTCTTACAGGAAACTCATTTTCATTAGACAAATGTGAAACCTGTGATGGAGCCGGCGCCGCCTGCTCTGTGTGTTGATTCATTTTAAGAAGTATCGATGAGCACAAATGGGAATTTGCATTGTAATATTAACAAAGAAACCACACAAGGTGCCAAAAGTATCTTCTCTGATTTCAGAGAGTGCTTTGTTTGTGTCGTGACCAGGTGTGTGTGGACCTACACGTAGCAGCAGGTCTGTCAGGGCAGTAGAACTGTATGCAGATGATATGATTACATCCACGGCTGGTTCTTTAAATATCACTCACTGGTGATGCTGCTGACTCGGTTCCTTATAAGAGCCCATCAGGTTTAATCAAGATCTCAAAAACAAAATGTAAAATTAGAAACTCAGTGATTTAACATTATAAATTTTAATATTATGGCTTTAAGTGACTAGAAACCAGGGTTTAACTTCTTTGAAAGTTGCAGATGTTTTCTTAAACATGTAATAAATGAATATGTTAACCACAGCTTTCAACTTAAGTCTTAATCAAAATAAAATGCAGATCAGAGGATTACAATGCTGTGACCTGTTTCACTGTGAGTTTCTGTAGCAGCATCTCGTGTTGTGTGAATACTGGAACTTATAAGCTGATCTTTGGGTCGGGAGTCCACCTGAACGTTGAAGCCAGTAAGTCCTCTTAGATCAGTTTTATTTCAGAAGTCCATCACATTTAGAGCTCAAACTTCAGATATTGAGCGTTCTGTCATGAACAAACACCACAGGAGCTAATCTGAAGTTAATGTTGGCATGACCCCAGGTCATTAAACTGATGATGGGTCCTGGTTTTGAATTTAAACATAACTGTCAGTCTTCAGATTTTAGTCTGTTAATTGTCTTGAAATTCATGCAGTCATGCGTCAGCACTGCTTAGAAAGTTGGTCTCTGTTGGTGAGTTATATACTTTGAAATGATACTTGGAAGATAAATGATGATGCTCCCCTCCACTTGGTCAGAACAGCCCATTAGACTCATATGACAAACATTACAGCATTAAGTTCTTTGGCCATCCAGGCCGTGAGTGTCAAATACGTACGACACATGTACTAAACCCAGACAAAACATACACATCTGGTTTGGCCAAGGAACAAAACTGATCATTGATCCAAGTTCAGAGGGTGAGATGTAGACTTCAGAGATCAAAATAGGAATTATTAATCTAAGCAAATTTTGCGGTCATTTTCACATTTTGTATAGTTTTATTTCATCTGCCAAATTATGTGTGAATGCACTGTTCACTGAGTCGTGGCAGATGTGACAACAACAAATTACATAAACATTATATTTAATAATTATGGTCCAAACAATATGGCACCCATTTTTTTCTGTTTTTTACCTAATGTTTGTTGAATGTTTGTTGGACCTTGCTAGACATTTAGGAGGACACAATTTGTGTAGTTCTTGTCCAGCTAAGATTTGCTGTGTGACTCTTTCTGGAAACAACAGAGTCGTCTTTGGAGCAGGAGCCACACTAAGTGTACAGAGCAGTGAGTATCACGATGTTTTTGATGCTAACTAGCTCACTGGCTTTACAGTTAAATGTGACGGTGATCTGTAAAAGTTGTTGCTGAGGGATATTCAGCTGTTTTTAACTGGCAGTAAAGGTGAAACACCCCCAGCACTGTTTTCAGTGTAGCAGGATCATTTTAGCAGAATTGTCTAATATAAGCTTGAGAGACAAAGTGGATTTTGCCCTTGTGGGAGAATGTCGCGTTTTCTGAAACACACAATCACTGGTTTTTACCCAGCAGCAGTGATAACTTAAAATGGCATCAGTGCCCGGACACTTGGCCTCAAGCTCTATCTGTACATGCTGGTTTGACAGAACTGAAACCTGAAACTCTGCTGGAGGATACAGGCTTTCCCAGGATGCTTGTTTGTTCATGCTATATGTGGCCCACTTGATGGAATTGTCCTTTTAGGGGAACTCTGTAAACCTTAGACTCTGCAAACACCAGATTTAATCTGAAGAACTAAAACCTGTTGTAGATGATGTGATTATTGGTGTCAGCGCTGTAGTTTTTGTTGAGGGTAGAAACGCTGTGAGACTGAAAACCGAAAACTACTTTTTGGTAAAGGCATGAAGTTGACTGTTGAATCCAGTGAGTGAACTTTAAACCATTTCTGCTGTATTTTGGTGGGAAACAGTGTAAAGAACGATCAACATTTAGTCTGTAATGATAAACAAGATCTACAGATTCAATCCCCCTTTTACATCAGAAAATCCTTGTTGTTGCCATCTTGATTTTTCATCTTGATCCTGCGTAACTAATCATAAACAACTCCGTAAAACAGGTATTTTAGCTAAAACAATAGACTCAGAGGAGTTCCATTTATTCTTCTAAATTTTTAAAAACGTCTTTTGTTACAAGTGAGACTATAATTTCATAAACTTCACACATTTCTGCTCTTAACATTCTGTAGTGCTCATGTTAATTTAACCCAGAATATCCAGTATTAACTGTGACTCTTGTCTCTGCATGAGGAATGAGTGTAGTTACCATTTAGGTCGGACTCACTGTGTGACTGATTCTGGAAACTGGAAAGTCATTTTTGGACAAGGAGCCAAAGTAACTACAGAGAGCAGTGAGTGTCCAAAATACAAATAGTACAGATGAGATACATACTGACTGTCTTCATGGATGCCTCGCTATCGCTCGCCACCAGATAGGATGGCAGCAGTTACATGTGTTTTTAGCCTTTTAGAAAACAATCAATCAACATCGAGTTAATGTCTCCAAGTTTACAACTGAATAGTTCAGTAGTGTCACAGAAAACCAACCTGGTTATGAGTTAAGGAGCAAATTACTACATTTCTAACCTAAATCTGTGTCTGGAAATTCAACAGTATGCAGATGATGTGATTCACTATTTTGTAGCTTCACAGCTTAGACAGTGGACTTTAAATGATGGAAGGAGTCAAACTGCTCAATTTTATTGTTACTGATGTGCATCTCCAGTAGAATGGCGTGTGATTGTTATACAACAGAACAGAAATGACGATGACTGCACATTTGTGTGGCCACTCTAAGAGGTATCAGGCTTGACCTTTGTCCACAGCCACTCTGAACATTTGCATAAGCTGGTTATCATAAATAAACCTGAAGAGAAGAAGTAGTAATGTCTGTCAAGCCCCATGTTGGCGGCCGGTCGTGTTGAGCTGGACGTAGATGGCAGCTGCTTGTTAATGTGACTGAGTTTGTCAGAGTGTGACTAGCTCTGCAGGGAAACTCATCTTTGGTTCAGGCACAGAACTGACTGTTGCTTCAGGTAAGTTACGTGTTCCTACTAAAACAGCTATTTTCATGTTGGCACTGTTGTTACTGTGATGGTAATAGAAACCTTGTGTCTCTACATGACACACCCAGACAAACATACAACATGATTTCAGTGAAAACCTGAGATTTAAGAGGTGTCTTTTGTAAAAAGTTAAACGTTTAGTAATTACTTTACTCACCCTAACCTCCCTCACACTAAGAAACCTAATGAACTATAACAAATTTGTAACCTTTTTTTACCATGAACTGAATTTTAATATTTATTTATTTATTGATAAGCATAGGTTAGCTACATCACTTCCTCAAGCATATTTAAGCTGTGGCGGCCTGTGAGGTTACTGTGGAGCTCAGATCCTCTGTGAGACCTTTGAAACTAGAAACTGATCCCAGAACCCAGTGAGTATCAAGATTCGTAGATTTAAAAATATATGAAATGTTGGTCGTGGTTAGGTTTAGCCTGATATTAACAGAAGTCACCAGGCCTCCATCAGGTTGTTTTACTATGAAATCTAAAAGGAGAAAAAGCAACAAATGTAAAATATTCTTGTTGTTTTTACATTGTAATAGTTAATTAGCATTGTTAGATGTTGCTACCCGGTGCAGCTGAAGCAAAAGGGACCCATGTGGTTATTGTTCTGATCAGCTCCACTGTGTGACTGGATCAGGAAGCTATAGGGTCGTTTTTGGAGAAGGAACCAAACTCATTGTAGAACCCAGTGAGTATGAATTAAATGTCTTGGCAGGTGTTCATGCTACAGTATTGTCTGGTACTGACACAAAGTGCAGCCATGGCTGCAAATGTCGTGCCAGCCCAGTGCAGCTCACTGTGACAACACACAGGCAAAGTTTTGTTAACATGACAAACTGTTCGACGGTCGCTGACTTAGCCTCAGCTGCGTTTGGGGACAAGATGTTGATCAGACTGTTGCTCGTCTATTTCTGCTGTTTTAACACCTAAACATGAATGAGCTGCATTAGCTACTGAGGACTGGTTCAGCTAGTGTTGCTGAAGCAGGAGCAGTCCAGTGGTTATTGCTCAGGCCACATCCACTGTGTGACTGCTGGGGCAGGAAACTATGGAGTCATTTTTGGAGCAGGAGTCAAGTTAAATGTAGAAACCAGTGAGTATGAAGAATTAATATATTGCAAAGAAAAAAATGTATATAAATACATTTCTGTAAAATTTTGTATGACACAACTTGACTAAACCTAGTGACATGTTTTTTAACCACCTACTGTGAAAAACAGTGGATACTGATTTTTACTGTGTTTAATCAACACGTCTGAGCACCTGCTGGTGTAATTAATGCTGGTGACAGCAGATACAGGCCTTGCAGTTGTTGCTCAGGTCAGATCCACTGTGTGACTGCTGGAGCAGGAAGCCTGAAACTCATCTTTGGAAAGGGAACCAAAGTGATTGTGGAGGCCAGTGAGTATCAGGGAATTATGATTCGTTAGATCAGATCAGTTCACATGTTTGTTCTTGGATCTTCATGCTGAGTGACTGAAATGCTGGGATGAAAACGTTCATGTTGTGTTTGTTTTTTCTGGGGCGACTGCAGTGTTTGTCATTATTAACTTTAGAGGACATCATGGTATCAGCTACATTGTCACTCTTGAACTTGGGTGGTATTCTACTGTCACTGTCCAGATGCAAACTCATATAAACCCATACGTAACAGACCTGTCTAAAACACAGCTGTAATAGTTTGCAGGCAATGAGGTTATTAAATCTGTTGCCATCAGGTTCTTTAGCTGTCGGTTAATGTTCTGAGAGGGACCAGTGTGTGACTGCTGCTGGGGGAGCAGCCTGGAAAATACTTTTTGGGGAAGGAGTTAAAGTTGATGTCGAGGCCAGTGAGTATCAGGAATCTTTATTTCAGTCTGATTGTTGTTGTCTGTTGGCTTCTATTTTTGATATGTGCTGGAAAACAAAACTCTAAACCTGAAAGAGTAGCTCTGTCGAACAGTACAGATTTATGGAGAACTGTTTGTACCAAGCTTGGTAAGAGGCCTCCACTCTTTTCTTAAAGCGGGCACTAACAGACTGCAAAGAACAGACGCCTTAAGCTGCTTGACGAACACAAAGTTCACCAGACAAATGTCAAACCAGATTTGACAAGAGGATGATGCTTCTTATCTTAAATCAGAGGCGTGTACAGGTGGACAGAAAATATTCAGCCACACATCACATGTAAACCTACCGGCCACTTTTCTGACCTGCCTTTAACGGCTTCTACATTACATCCAGAATTAACGTTGAAACCTTTGGCCATTTTAAATGATGTTGATCATTTGAGTCCTGACATGTGCACTGTTCTATAGCTAAAGTGAGTGAGGCATTTTGTTAGCGGTCATATTAGAATCTATTAGCTCAGTTAAAGTAATTCAAAATTTAACACTGAAATAAACCGATTAAGTTTGCCCAGTCCCGTTAGGACCCTGTGAGTCCTCCTCTGGGTTCATGTGGTGATGTGAGTCAGAGTGCGACTGGCTCTGGGGTTAAATTCAGCTTTGGACCTGGGACCAAACTGACAGTTGTCTCCAGTAAGTTCCCTTCATACATAATATTACCTTTTGAATTTACCACTGCAGTTGTTCATCATGTGCATTTTAAGTGTAGGTTTTATCGCCTTCAGAAACATTAAATGATGCCATGACCCCTGAACTAAGATGGTGGTCATCCTCTCTGAACCTGTGTAAAGGTCTCTGCATAATCCAGCAATCACAAGTGCCCTGACACTCAGCTGAAACATGAAGTAAATGACTCCTGCAGAATAAATGCTCTCAGAACATGATATATAACAAGTTACTGTAGTCTGAGCTTTGTTTTTATGTAGCTTTTGTTTTAGCACAGCTAAAAAGACAAAGCTGAGCTTCATAATGAAATAGTGAATGTAGTTCTTGTTGGGATCAGATTCACTGTGTGACATATGGAGGAAACAATAAGCTCATTTTGGGGCATGGAGTCAAACTAACCGTAGAAACCAGTGAGTATTAAATCATCCGTACGGGGAATTCATTGAATTTTGACGTGTTTGGTGACTGTTCATGCTGAGGTTTTATCTGGTATTTAAACAACTCAAACTAAATATCAAGAGTTTGGTTGGGTTTGTCAGAGTGTAACGTACTTCGGAGTGTCTAAACTCACCTTTGGATCTGGCATTAAACTGACCGTTTACTCCTATAAGTAGATTTACAGTTTGACCTTAAAGTTCTCCAGTTTCCACTAGAAGCTACAGAAAAATCACACTTCCAGTCACAACCTTCCGTGTCTTACACTGACATCCTGCCAAAACAAACCGGTTTTACTTAATTCTCCCCAAATCAACATTTTTCGAGACAGTTTTCTTTGACCTGTTTCTGGTTTTGTGTAACAGTCTAAATGGCAGTGAAATGGTCAGTGAAGATGTTGTTCAAAGCAGATTCACTGTGTGAATGCTGCTGGAAACAGGAGGCTGATTTTTGAAAATGGGACCACAGTAACAATAAAAAGCAGTGAGTACTATGAATTCAAACATTCCAAAGGCAAAGTGGCTGCCATGTCTGGTTTTCACGCCACTGTATGTTTGCCCTTTTAAAGGCGCCATACAGAAATATGGCAGCAGTGATTAAACTCTTGATGTTTGGCACCACGGGGCAGTAGTTTGTTCTTGGTGTCATGATAGAGAAGTGAGACTCAGAATTCAGAATACTATATAAGATTAATTCATATGTTTAACCTGTAAAAGTGCAGCTGTTTGCAGATGATTTCATTCGTTGCTGTCAGTTGCAGCAGTTTTCGCTGAGAAGACGAGCAGTGTGTGACTGGGACAGGAGGCTGGAGACTGGTTTTTGGGGAGGGCATCAAGCTGATCGTTGAGGACAGTAAGTCCAGTTGTGATTGTCTAAAACCCCATTATGGGCCAAGTATCACTTTAGTTAAGAAGTGGAAACACCACATCATCACTGTTGATCAGTTTTGACTGTGCAGTGAAGGAAAAGTTCAACCTCGTGTCCAGACAGCGAGACAGACAAATATCAAGCCACGCATTAACGAATGGTTATTGTTACTGTGTATACGGTCTACTTATTTGTGACACCTTTATTTGTCAAAGTGCAGAAAAACGGTCATCCAACAGTCATCAGGTGGACGTTTTGACTGGGGTCATTTATAATGAGCAAGTAACTGGTGGGTGTTTGGTTACTGATCTGTAAGATCAATAACGCGGGGCTCCTAAACTGCTGTGGTGTCGATGCCACAGAGTGAATGTCTGGGTTTGTGTCACTGGGCTTCGTACTGTGTCCATGGCTTGGGAATCACATTGTCTTTGGTTCTGGCTCAAAACTTAGAGTGCAATCAAGTAAGTAGTTTGATTCATTTGTAAAGGAAAATGTCTGGCTTAATCTCTGAGCTCAGCATTTTCAGCTGATTCATATATGAGAAAGACTGAGGTGAACTCTTTGTGTAGAAACTGTAGAAGCTTTCTTTAGCTCATACAACTGTTACATGTTCGAACTTTCTTTGGTGCAACAGTGTTTTAATCAAGTTGTCATCCTTAATTCAGTGTTTTCAAGCCCACCAAGAATTACAGAGTTAGAGCGGCTTCACAAGAAAACGTCCCAGTCACTGATCTTGAGGTTTACGCAGCTCGGCTTCTCACTGTGTTTCTGGTTATGGAAACTCAAAACTCATCTTTGGTCCTGGCTCAAAACTGAGAGTGGAATCGGGTAAGTTAATTTATTCATTTGTAAGAAAATTCAACAGTTTCACCTGGATGCACAAACTCAGACAAATAATGTACAGAGGAAAACATTCAGCAGTAAAATGAAGCCAGCAATAAAAAAAGAGGTGGCCCAAATAAACAGAAGGACAAAACAGGGAGATATCAGTAAAATGCTGATTTAAAAGGTGTCACTGAGTCTCAAGCCTCAGGTCCTCGGGCTGAAAAAGCTTGGTCACCTTCAGTCTTATGATAGGTCATAGAAGCAGCTGGAAGCGCCCCGCAAAACAAAACATGTTTAATGAACTCTAGTAACCTTTTTGTTTTTGTAAAGCCTTACTGTCCACATGGTCCTTGAATATTTGACTTGGTCATTATCCGTTCCCTCTGAGTGCATAGTAAGGACAAGCCCAGGTGCCTGACCTCAGGGTTTATGTAGCTGCACTTCCCATTGTGTGACTGGCTTCTCAAATTCAAAACTCATTTTTGGCTCAGGAACCAAGCTCATAGTTGGAGCAGGTAGGTTGTCTTACTAATTTAAAACCAATAATTAATCAAATATAACTTTCTGAAGTCACCATCTATCACCTGGTTTTGTAATTAGTGGGGAAAATGAAGATGAACATTAACTTCAGATGAAAATACTTATTTAGGAAATGTGACCTTTTCTGTACACGAGGATAATATTTTTAACATGACTTGGAAAATATAAACCAAGTAGCTTCAGGGGGCGTTAGCGTGTCTTTGAGCTCCGGTTTATGTTGCTGCTCTTCTCAGTGTGTGACCAACTTTGGGAATGCCAAGCTCACCTTTGGTTCTGGCACAAAACTGAGGGTTGAGTCAAGTAAGTTTTTTTTATTTATATGTGAGAAACAATGTTTAATCAGACTTAACTGTCCAGAACTGAACAATCACCTGGTTCAACAGCAGCAGAAACAGCCTCCAGCAGCTTCAACACAAATGAAAAACCCTCGATGAACCTGAACTTCAGACAAAAACATTTTGTAGTATTACCTTTTGTGTACACTAGGAACATTTCCCCATCAGTTGTTCTGATCGAAGCAGTAGCCCATGTCACGGACCTCAGGGTTTGTGCACTTGTGTTTCTCATTGTGTGTCTGGTTATTCAGGCAACAATCTGGTCTTTGGCTCCGGCACAAAACTGAGGGTTGGATCAAGTAAGTTACTGAAAAAGAGTAAGAAATTATGCTTGCACTGAAAAAGTTGTTAATGTGGTTTAATTTCTGAACTGTTACACCTGTCGTAATTGTTGTGGTTTTGTTCCTGGTCAAACTCAAATATCTGAGTCCTACATTGTGATTCTTGGGCTTGAGTCCAACTGCCTAAAGCAAACCTCATGTGATTCAATAAGAATGTATTTGTACACATCACATTTTAGGTATATATAGCATATATTAATGAGGCATTAGTTGACATCGTTCTTGTTCAGAGCAGATCCACTGTGTGACTGTTTCAACAGCAAGCGTGAAGCAGATTTTTGGAAAAGGGACCAAACTAACAGTAGAGGACAGTGAGTACCAGCCATTTAGAGCTTCAAGAGTGACAAATGTATCTGAATAACACACACGGTGACATTATTTTAGGATCTTTGTATCTAATGAGGGAATGTTAGGAGGATAAAATAGTTGACAAATGTAATGATAAAACATGTCACTTGTCCAGTAGACAGTGCTGCTGAGAATTAAATCTGTTGTCTGATTGTTTG